ATAACATGTGAACAACTTTTCTTAGTCATTCCTTTATTATTTGTAACGTAGAGCGCGGTTTATCCATGTCATCGGTTCGATGATTCAATTCCCCTATCTGCTTGCTATTTGTTTCTCCACTAGGTAAGTAGAAGAGCATAACAATGGCGGTAATCTCTCAGAATCTGTCTCCCATTGTGGCCACTCCGAGCTTCCCAATTCTTTCCAACCAAAACGAACACAAAACAATAACCGAAAGCTCCTCTCTTGCTGTATCGTTGAAGAACTGTAAAACCATTACTGAACTCGAGCAATTACACTGTCACATGACCAAGCAAGGCCTCAATCGCGACCATTCTGCCATGTGCAAGTTTATGAGCGCCTGCACCGAGATGGGCACCTTTGATAGCTTGAATTACGCTCGGAAAGCCTTTGAGCAATTTAAGGAAGACGGTGACACCAGTGGCTCTTCGTTTATGTATAATTGTTTGATTAGAGGTTGCTCTTCACTTGGTCTTTGTGATGAAGCTATTTTGATTTATAATCACATGGTAGACATGGGGATTGCTCCTGATAAATACACTTTCCCGTTTTTCTTAAGCGCGTGCTCAAAGATTGCAGCTTTCAGTGAGGGTGTTCAGGTTCATTCTGCAATTTTAAAAATGGGTTTTGAAGATGTGTATACGCAGAATTCTTTGATATATTTCTATACGGAATGTGGAGAGGTTGTTTGTGGCCGCAAGGTGTTTGATGAAATGCGTGAGAGAAATGTTGTGACGTGGACCAGCTTGATTTGTGGTTATGCCAGGATGGGTTTTGCTAAGGAGGCGGTTGATTTGTTTTTTGAGATGGTGAAGGAAGGGATTAGGCCCAACTCAGTTACACTGGTTTGTGTAATTTCTGCTTGTGCAAAGTTGCGGGATCTTGAACTGGGTGAAAGAGTATGTGGATATATTGAGGAGTCTGGTGGCGTGAAGGCTAATGCTCAAATGTTGAGTGCACTAGTTGATATGTACATGAAGTGTGGTGCAACTGATGCTGCAAAGCAGCTTTTTGATGAATGTGTTGACAAAAACTTGGTTTTGTGCAATACAATCATGTCAAATTATGTACAAACAGGGCTAGCAAAAGAAGCACTGGCTATCTTAGATGAGTTTCCAGCACAGAGACTTCGGCCTGACAGGGTTACAGTTTTATCAGCAATCTCAGCATGTGCACAACTAGGAAGTATTTTGTGGGGAAAGTGTTGCCATGGTTATGTTTTGAGGAATGGTTTAGAATGTTGGGATAGTGTTTCTAATGCTTTGATTGACATGTATATGAAGTGTTGCAAACAAGAAATGGCCTGTAAAATTTTTGACCACATGACAAACAAGACTGTGGTTTCGTGGAATTCACTAATTGCAGGTTTAATTAGAAATGGTGACATTGATTCAGCTTGGAAAATTTTCAACAAGATGCCAGAAAGTGATAGTGTCTCTTGGAACACCATGATTAGTGGTTTGGTACAGGAGAGCATGTTCAAAGAAGCCACTGAGCTCTTCCGAGTGATGCGAAGTAAGGGAATAAAAGCAGATAGGGTGACCATGGTGAGTATTGCATCTGCCTGTGGATATTTGGGGGCACTTGATCTGGCAAAGTGGATCTATGCTTATATTGAAAAGAATGAGATTCATTGTGACATTCGACTTGGTACAGCTTTAGTTGATATGTTTGCCAGGTGTGGTGATCCTTCAAGTGCAATGCATATCTTCAATAAAATGGAAAAAAGGGATGTTTCAGCTTGGACTGTTGCCATTGGAGCAATGGCTATAAATGGAAATGGTAATCAAGCTATTGCTCTTTTCAACCAGATGCTCAAGCAAGGAGTGAAACCAGATGGGGTAGTATTTGTAAGGTTGCTAGCAGCATGCAGCCATGGAGGTTTAATTGAGGAAGGACGGTATCTTTTCAGGTCAATGACGGGAATCCATGGAATATCTCCCCAGATCATCCACTATGGTTGCATGGTTGACTTACTTGGTCGAGCTGGGCTGTTTGAAGAAGCTCTAGATATAATAAAAAGCATGCCTATGGAGCCCAACGATGTAATTTGGAGTTCTCTTTTGGCTGCATGCCGGATGCACCAAAACGTTGATATGGCAGCATATGCAGCTCAAAGGATAAGGGAATTGGCTCCAGAGAGGACTGGTGTCCATGTGCTTCTGTCAAACATCTATGCTTCTGCTGGGAAATGGACTGATGTTGCAAATGTGAGGTTGGAATTGAAGGAGAAAGGGGCACGGAAAGTGCCTGGGTCAAGCTCAATAGAGATCAATGGGAAAATCCATGAGTTCACCTCTGGTGATGAATCACATCCAGAAATGAGCCAGATAGCATTGATGCTGGAAGAGATGAACTGCAAGGTAAGGGATGCTGGCCATGTTCCTGATCTGGCCAATGTTCTGCTTTATGTTGATGAGCAGGAGAGAGAATATCTGCTCAGCAGACACAGTGAAAAGCTTGCATTGGCTTTTGGTCTCATCAGCACTGGCCCAGGAACGCCTATTCGAGTTGTAAAGAATTTAAGAATCTGTTCTGACTGCCATTCTTTCGCTAAATTGGTTTCGAAAATATACAACAGAGAGATTATAATGCGGGACAATAACAGATTTCACCTTTTCCGGAGAGGGACTTGTTCTTGTAATGATTATTGGTAAGAATTGTAAGATAATGTAAGATAGTTGTAACCTTTGCTTGTAGAGGGGGAAGTATTTACAGAAACGCAGGGTTGCTCTGTTCTGTAACCCAAACATTGAAGAAAAATAGAAAAATGAAGAATAGAGTTTCATTCACTGAGCTCATACAACTTTTTGTTGCTTTACCAGAATTAACCCCTGGATCATTCAAAACTCCCTCAGGAAGACATTAGCAGAAAGGACCTCAAGGATTTACATTGTTCACATTAACAACTAAAGAATTTTCGCAATAGTTTTTAACACTTTTAACTATAAGAATCAATGAGCAATGAGATTGGAACTTGGGTGCAGAAAGAACATTTCATATTGTTTCATTCCGAAAGTGACAGTACATTTCACATCTAAATTTAAGAAACTAGAAAAAAAATTTACAAGATGAAAAAGAAAATGTTTGCGTCCAACAGCCTTGGCTTTGCTGGCCAAAAGGAAAACAGCGTTGGCTTCAAGGGTTCCATTGAATTTTGAGGAACATTCCACAGAATAAGCAATAATGGTTAGAAGGGGATCATTTTGGACCATCTTTCCAAATGCAGATCATAAATCTGGGAAGATAGGATCTACAAAAGCGTAGTGCATTGGATCCGATTGCCAGAGTTTAGCTATGTGAAGTGAAGATGTAGTGCGCCGATGCATTTCTTCAATAAGCCAGATGGTGGCTTCAGCTTTACAAGGATGAATGATGGTATCCAGGGGCCTGTCTTCATCCTCACTGCCAAATCTCAGTTGGTCCCACTGTTTTAGAAGAATGTTGGTGAGGTAATGCAAGGGTTGACCATACAATTGCTTGATTGATCTGCCTAATCCCATCCACGAGGTAAATGGAATGATAGAGCCCCGCTGTGTTGGGATGGGTACTTGCTTCATATACTCCTGGTACAATTCTGCCCTTTTCATCAACAAACCTGATCAAAGAAATTTCATGCCACAGCATTACCTATGAGAAATATAAGAGTATCATCCCAGGCAGAAGCAGAGACATTGAGACTGGATCAACATTAACTTCCCCATCTAGATCCATTTTAAACCCAATATTTAGCACAAGCAGAAGCAGAGACAAACTCCAAGAACAATTCCCATCATTCCAATTATGCAGGTACAACGAAAGGACAGATTTTCCAGTTTCCCCTTTTTGGGAAATTCGCAAAACTAATTCCATAATTCAAAGCCATTTACATTGCCTATCAGTAAATCATTAAAAGCAGACAAGATAGGTAATCTTTTCCTTTAAACAATTACTTTACACCATAAGAGACCACTTATAGAGATATTATAATGACTAATAAAGCACCATTATAGTACTTTCTTCTCGTCCAAAAAATTACTTCTCACACGGTCACACCCACCAAAGTTCTTTCAAGAACTAAAGATTAAATTGTCTCTAAAATCCCACATTAGAAAGAAACGAATTACACTGTAAACAACTATGGACATGAACAATCAATTACAGTAACAAAATCTAGCTTTCTTGGTTTAGAGCATTGCAGAAAGAGAACATGCAACAGAAAAAACTAGAGAAATTTGTAGACTCTAACAAAAGAAAAATGAACACCAATTCTTCAAAGTACCTTCAGGGGACATATCTTGGGGTGGTTGATCGGTAGGGGAATTACTGGTTCCATCATTAACCTCTACCTCTGCATCTGAAGAAGATTCATCTGAAGATATAAGATCCACCTGATCGCTCCACGGCATTGCTCTCTTCATGGTGAATAAGACCCAATCCTGAACTGAATAAAATCACACAAGGAAAGACTCGAGGCTTAAATCCCACATCAAATTATCCAAGAAACGAAACCCAGAACAGAAATTGAATGAGCATCGAAACCAAACACACAAAAAAAAAAAAAATTTCTTATCCTCACCGGTGTCGCCGGAAGCCGCAGAGGGTCAGGGAAGGACAGGGGAAATGGAAGAAGTAGTTGGTAAATACCCTAGTTAGTCCACAGAATTGGAAGAGGAGAAGAATTTTTTATGTTGACCCTTGAACTTAATTTTTTTTTACGTTTTAGTCCTCAAACTTAGTTTATTTCCAATTATCTTAACCAACCCAAATTGATTTTCTGCTTGCACAACTTTGAAAAAACCCTCCTCGGTGGTGTATCCTCCTCTGGTTCTGAGAGACACCCACACCCCAATATGCTCCGGAGACACCTGATTTTCAAGCTTATCTCCACTTTCCGTCCTCCAAGATCAGCTTGTATCCATGAAAGGTGTTACATTTTCTCCAATCCTCTATGCACCATTGCAGAATCATCGCCTTCAGCTGGGGCAGGCTCTGTCGCCGAGTCACCTGAGGTTCCGACTTGGTTCAATAAACAGAAGGCGGACAGCACCGACTCTGATGAAGATTTCGTTATCCCTTCACTTGCTAGCTGGGTTGAGAGCCATAAGCTCGATGATCACACCAAGGTTGTGCTGTTCCCAGCTGACGAAGGGGATACGGACGTTAATAAAGTTTGTAAAATCCTCAAGAATCGGTATCCATCGTATAACAAAGTTGTTGAAGAGCTAAACGGGATTGATGTACGGGTCTCAAACAGCTTAATAGAGCAACTTTTGAAGAGGTTTGACAATGATTGGATGTCAGCTTCTGTTGTTTTCACTTGGGCAAAATCACAAACAGGTTATGGGCATACACCCGAGCTGTTTGATACCATGGTCGATATATTAGGAAAGGCAAAGAAGTTTAGTATAATGTGGGATTTGGTTAAGGAAATGCAGCAGTTAAAGGGATATGTTACGTTGGCTACAATGAGTAAGGTTATGCGGAGGTTAGCTAGAGATGGAAGGTATAGTGACGCTATTGAAGCCTTTCGAGGGTTAGAGCAATTTGGTATTAGCCAGAATGCTGAGGCAATGAATCAATTAATGGATGCGTTGGTTAAGGGGGACAGTGTTGAGCATGCTTATCAAGTGTTTACTGAGTTCAAGGAACTGATACCTCCAACTTCAGTTTGCTTCAACATTTTGATACATGGTTTTTGCAGAGCTCGGAAGCTAGAAGATGCTTGGAAGATAATGGATGAGATGGAGAAACATGGGTATCAACCAGATGTTACTTCTTATACATGCTTTATTGAGTCTTACTGTCGTGAAAAGAATTTTCGCAAAGTTGATGATGTTTTGGATGAAATGCAGAGGAAGGGTTGCAAGCCGAATGTTGTGGCTTGCACTATTATTATGAAAGCTCGAGGGAAGGCACACCAGATTACTCAAGCATTGGAGGTTTATGAGAAGATGAAGTGTAATGGTTGTTTACCAGATGGGCCATTTTATAGGTCAGCTATTGTCATGCTGAGCAAGGCTGGTAGACTTAAGGATGCGCGTGAAATATTTGAAGACATGAAAGTGCAAGGACTCAGGCCAGATGTGCAGGCATATACTGCCATGATTTCTTCACTTTGTGAACATTCGCAAGAAGAGGATGCATTGAAGTTGCTAAAAAAAATGGAAGAGGATTTGTGCAAGCCAGATCTTTATACTTACGCCCCTTTACTGAAAATGTGCTGCAGGAAGAAGAGGATGAAGGTACTGAACTTTTTATTAAGCCACATGTTAAAGAATGACCTGAGTATTGATCTTGGAACCTATGCTCTTCTGGTGAAAGGGCTTTGTAATAGTGGGAAACTAGAGCATGCTTCTTCATTCTTCAAAGAAATGGTGATGAAAGGAATGGTTCCCCATGATTCGACATACAAGATGCTGGTTAAAGAACTTGGTGAAAAGAACATGACAGAAGCAAAGCAGACTATTGAAAATTTGATGCGCCAGGCAAAGGAGCAAAACATAGTCCTTGCTGCATAAATGCTTTCTTTGAGTTGATAAAATGCAAGCCCTTTGTAATGTCTAGAACTGAGTAGAAAGGTCAACAGTCTTTCTATTAGATAACATCTTTTCATTTTCTATGCGGTCTTAACTCTTCACATCTCTTCCCTTATTCCTCTCCTTCTCCAGTCGTGGCCTTTTAGCTGGGTCAATCTACTCTGCATGTTTGGCCAGCTGTCCCTGGAAACTGTTGTCAGCATTTAGTCAACCAAACATTAGTCACCAACGACCTTTTTTTTTTCCTAACGAGTTTACATATAATCTAAACATTCTATAGGAAAGGGAAGAAAGTCATCCTGAGAATTGAAACATCAAATTTAAGAGGTGTTTCTACTTAAAAGACAAGTAACAAACCATTTGTCCCGAACATGTGAAACCAATCACCAAAGATCATTTGTTTTCGTTACATTAAGAATTAGCTGTTAGACAGTTTAGAGGTTTGTATCTTTGACTCTAAATCAAAATTTTTAAATTAGTAATTACTAACTCAGCTAAACAGCTTTGAAGGCAGCGGTTTTTCATAAAAACTGCAACCAAATTCTTTAGCTGGATAGATGTGGGTATGTACCAATTAATAGTAATAACCATGCATGCTCAACAGCTAGGAAATTTTGTTAAAGTCGTTCCTTTGTGCTCATTCTTTGAAGAAATGATTGAATAATCAAAACTTTTTGCCTTGGCCTTGAGAGATGCCATAGAGACAAAGAAAATGTGATTTATCCTTTGCATCCAATACACGGAAGCAGGAATTGTTATCAAAGTATATACAGTATATTACTGTCCTCTCTCACTTATTCCCTGAGCCTTTCTCTTGTACAAATCTTCGGCGAACACAGAGCTAAAGCTAGAGCGTAAAGATAACTTTCTTGCGTTCGGCTTCTGCCAGCCTAGTCTTTCTAGGAATTCTTCAATTAACCTACAAATTCATTACAGTTTCATAAGATATCAACATAAAAGGAGGATCAGTAGGAAGAGAACATGATAAGGTACTCACATGCTGCAGGCTGCCTTCTGTGAAGACGCCAGCTCATGGTCAGGGAAAGAATCCTCAAATCGGAAACTTAACCAAATATAGAGATCCAGGACCTTCAATTAATTGATTGTGCCAAAGAAGACACAACAGGTGTTAGCAGCAGGTGCATTCAATGAAAAAGGTCCATGAAATACCAAGGACAAAATCCTACCTTGTGAATGGATTCAAGCTCCTTCAGTTTACCATGTGTTTTTGGCACTTGAAGTGTACCTGGTGTAAATATTTCTCGAAGCCGAACAATGCCTTTCTTAGCATAATTTTCTGCAAACTGATCAATATGGATAGATAGCTCATGTCAGTTTCCACTTTCAAAATAATTGAGAATTGCACACACTTTTAGGTGAAGAATTTGGCATAAATCTTTACCTGGGTTAGACCCTGAGCTGAAATCTCGTCATCCATGTCAACTGGACTGCATATCACAAATACTACCAAAAATAAGAATGTGATCAAGTTGTTTATGGCACTTGCTACCCAAATTGCTTTGTTGAACAATTTTAGGCAGTGGAAAACTTACTGGACGGATTTCTTATTCCAAGCAACTTTCTATACAGTTTGAAGGGAATGTATTACCTAACACAAAAAAGATACTTATCATGCATCCCAAGAGGCAATTGATCGACAACAGCAGCAACTTTCTGGTGTCAATAAACTGCCATTAGCCCTAGGAGAAGAAATATAAATAGAAATAAGACAGGCAATAAAGTATGCTTGAAGAACCTTACCAATATGTCTTCACAGTTAGAAATAAAATAGTTTTCTGATAGTTTTGCATTCTCTAGAAAATGCTCCTGCAAAATAAATATTCAAGGAGGGTCAATTCATTAATTTGTTTTCTTTAAAAAAATGGAGAAAAAAATGAATTAAATGGGAATGCATATACAAGAATGTGCAATCCCTAGACCCTCATCTCCCTCTGTTTTGATATAGAAAGCAAGATAGTCAAAAGCTCACATACCAATATCTGGTAGAAACCACAGTTTGGATGTAAACGTGAATACATATACAAGAGATCAAAGCTTGGAAGCAGTCCAGCTTGCTGCATTATATATGTTACTCTGATTCAGTAAACAACAAAATGTGGAAACCATAGAATTATGGACCAAATGATGTTAAAAAACCAGATAAAGCAGATTTTCACAAATTGTGAGAACTCCAAATGATAATGTCATCACCTCTAGAATAGGAGATGGGGCTGCTAATGATGAATGAAGCAATGGTAGGTCATTTGCATCTAAACAAGTCACTTCACCAACAGGAAATTTTGATCCATACCTGCCAGCTCTGCCTGCAAAAATAATAAGCTCATTAAGAAGTAAAGAGTCAATCATAGAGAAAAAACCATGCCAAATAGGAAAAGTGACCATTTATGTTAACTACTTAATTACATCATCATTTGACATACTTCTATGAATACAACTACACTGCAATATGCTTTGATTTCCCCTTCCCCCTCTCTTTAAAAAAAAAAAAAAAAAAACCTTCCCCCTCTCTTTAAGAAAAAAAAAAAAAAAACCCACAACGCAATATCAGTGTGTCGTGTGCCTAAACAAACCCAACATCATTAGCTCCAAATGGTCCATTACTTAAAGTGAATCAGTCAAGTGGTACCTCTAAAATTAGAGAACCTTTTTTTTTTTCTTTTTGTTAATGCTGCAACCTCTCTTGTTCTGCATGGCAAGAACTGAATATACCATTTTTATATACAAATGGAGTTTTACATGTCTCCTTATCTTTATGATTATGGAAAACTGAGATAATCAAATCCTTACATACTACTTTCTGACAGGAAAAAATTTGAAACAAGTAGTCAAGTCTATCCCTCTCCATTACCTTGTGAAACAAGGCCCAAGCCAAGATATAGAAAGACTTATGTCAGTTTGCAGCATAGAGCCAAAAACTATTTAACTTACACATCAGATGGATCTCAGATCCCCATGAACCTTGAATGAATGAGAAAAAGTAAAAATAAAAGAAGAATTGAACAGAATACTACCAATCTGAATGCTAAATAAATTCCAAAATTTTAGTTACAGATATCAAATTACCTCCAATCTGCTTTATCTCTGGTACTGTAAGCTCCCTCATCTCAGCACCATCAAATTTTTTCATACTGGAAAATATGATCCTTGAAATATTCAGATTAAGACCCATCCCAATTGCGTCACTGGCCACAAGCACATCAAACTCACTGGTTTCATCATTAAACATCATTGCCTGCAGTCTTAAAGAGCACATTAAACATAAATAAAAGGAAAGAATATCAAGGAACTACACTGATTAAGAATGAAGATTCATGACTGTATGACAATAGAATGGCACCTGTCTTGTCCGAGTCTCTGGTGGCAATGACCCATAAACCACAGAGCAAAGATGCTTTCCCCCATCTTGAATT